TTGCACCGTCCCAAGAGATCTGTCGTCAATGTTAAAGAGGGGGTGCGGGGTTGTTGCTTGGGTGCGTACCCGAAACAGTGTATGTAGGTGGTGCAAGATTTCCTCCATCCACCGTAGTACTACTACTGCTGCTGCTACTACTACTAGCAGTAGTGGAACTACTACCACAACTACAATTATTATTATTACTACTACTACTACTACTACTACGACGACGACGACGACGACGACTACGACTACTACGACGACGACGACGACTACTACTACTACTACTATTACTACTCCTCCTCCTCCTCCTCCTACTACTACTACTACTACTACTACTACTATTACTACTACTACGACTACGACTACTACTACTACTACTACTACTACGACTGCTGACTGCTGACTGCTGACTGCTGACTGCTGACTGCTGACTGCTGACTGCTGACTGCTGACTGCTGACTGCTGACTGCTGACTGCTGACTGATGACTGATGACTGATGACTGATGACTGATGACTGATGACTGATGACTGCTGACTGCTGCTACTACTGCTCCTACTCCGACCCGGGCTCCCACTCCCACTGCTACTTACTCCTACTCCGACTTTGCTACTGCTACTGCTGCTGCTACTTGTAATCTTGCCGCTACCACCTCCTTGGTCTGTATTGGCATCCATGCGAGCGCTAGCGCTGCCTAGCGCCAGTCCAGCTAGATCTCCAGCAGTCATAGCCAGACGGCAGGCTTGCGAGGTTTGTTTTAACACCTGAGTTGTCGCTGCATGTTTTAGTGTTTGCTTACTCGCGGTGGTGCTGTCGTTGTCGTCGTCTTCTTGGTATGGGATTGGATGAACGCGAATTTCTTTGGCACACGTCAGGTTTACGAGCCCAAGGGTGGCTACTTCGTCTGGGTCAAGAAGCCCAGGATGACTTTCTGCCGTTGTCTCCCGTTCGAGCTTCGGGTTTAGGACTGGGTTGAAAATTTTCGGACAAAACTGGGAAAGGCTTTGAGGCGTTTAGGCGTCCTAATCCCTGAGCTTCTTGACGTCGAAGCCCCTCCCGCAACCCACAAGCCTGAGAACTCGAACTCCTGAGTGTGCTACGCTGTCAAGCCCAAGCCTCATGGCGCAAACCTTGAGTTTCCATATTTGGATTGAGAGTAAGCCGCCGTGGCTTTTCACCGTCCCCAGATTCAATCTTCGGTTTCATGATTGTCATGTCTGGGGCTTCGAGCAGTGATTTCTCCAAGCTTGACGCCTCACAGCACTGAGCTTGAACCCCTCAAATCCTTTTTTTTCGAGGTCAAGTCCAAGGGCAAGATGACAGGACGAAGTGGCTGACTGAGATGACAGTGACTGGAATGCTTGTTAATCTATCAATGCTCTGGAGCTTGAGCTTAAACCGCAGAACCAGCCCAACAAAGATGCCTGAAAGTCAGCAGCACCTGGCTTTGAACAGCTACATGGGATCCGCTGCCGTCAAGCCCACAAATTGAGATACTCTCAATGTGATCCTCGAGCTCGACTTCCGAATATTTTGGGTGGGGCCTCTGAGGCCCATGGTGGCATACCATGTAAACTTTGGAGTACCACTGTTCACTGCTTCGCTATACGCCAGTTTAGGCGGCGTCCCCAAAGCTGTTCCTTTGTCTCCAGTATACCCCACTATGCACAAAGGTGGTGAGGCGATGGCCATCAACAAGGCCTCACCTTAGTTGCTGGCTGTTGCACAGAGTCTCTCGGCTCTAGGGCTTTGGAGGAATTTGAGGTTCAAAACGCAGTGCTGCAGGGATTTGCTTCGGCACCGTGACCGCGTGTCAATGTGTAACAGACTTTCTAGTCCTGAGCTGAGCCCAGCCCAAGCCCCGCCCAGCACCAGCAGCACCAGCAGCACCAGAAGCACCAGGGACCACCAGCGCAAGCAGCAGCAGGAGCACCAGCAGCACCGCCAGCAGCACCAGAACCACCAGCAGGACCAGCAGCGCGAGCAGCACTAGCAGCAGCAGCACCAGCAGCACCAGAAGCACCGGCAGGACACCAGCACAAGCAGCAGGGCGGCGGCAGCAGCAGCAGCAGCAGCAGCAGCAGCAACAGCACCATCGCAGCCGGAGCTGCAGCGGCAGCAGCACCAGCAGCAGCAGCAGCAGCACAACCGCCACCACTACCAGCCGGAGCGGCAGCGGCAGCAGCGGCAGCAGCGGGAGCAGCAGCGATGGCAGCACCGCCGCCATCATTGTCATTGTCGTCGTCTCCGTCGTCGTCGTCGTCCTCCTCCTCCTCACCCTCACCCTCACCCTCGTCCTCGTCCTCGTCCTCATCACCATCATCAGCATCATCATCGTTTTCGTCATGATCATGATCATGATGATGGTGATCATCATCATCATCGTCACCATTGTCGTCAACAGAATGACATGTGTGTGTGTGTGATGTTGTAATCACCAAAATCATGGAAGATGTTTGTCATACTTTCTGACGATAGCCTCGTCAGACTTTCTCGGCAGATATGTAGGCATTCTCCAATCGGACTCAACCGGTCGGATCCTGAGCCCTAAATCTCAAGCACACTATCAAACCTAAACATCAGGACAACTTCCAGGACTACATGCGGCTTTGCTTCTGCCTCTGCCTCAGCTGCCGGTGCTCTGTGCGCAGACAATTTTGCGAGTTGTTACCTTCGGTGCAGGATTTGGGTAAGGTGGATTCAGGAATCTTACGTTCAGTTGATGCAGTTCAAACTCCAGCGTTCTTGCGAGTCCTGTGAGAGTCAGGGAGAGCCTACCCCACATCCTGCAAGCAGTCATATCAACCAGACTTCATAGGCTGGCAGACCCTGATTCCCGAGGATGAACCAAAGACTAATTCTAAACCTCAAGACGAGTGACGCTGCTGGCAGCGATGATCAGGCTCGCAAGCCAGAAGCCTACAACGAGTGATGCCCAAAGCAGCACCGCAGTGGTTGCCAGCACCGCCTGATTCCTCTACTTGCCCAACACGCTGGAGGATTTGGTGGATAGCACAATCGCAAGCTCGACATGAGACGACTCCCATGCGTCGACAGGCCTAAGCGGCCTAAGTCGTACCAAACCCTACAAAATCGCAGAGAGATTGCAGAGAGTTTTTCGAGGCCGCAGAGCAGACTTCCAAAATGAAAGTGCAAAAGCAGTGCTGGCTAGCACGGCTCGGCGCTGTGAAATGTAGTCCTTGTCTGCCAAGCCGGAAGCACAAAACTAATGGGAGTGCTGATGCCAAACCCTTATGCCTCATGCGATCCCATGAGGCGATAAACGAGCCATCCCGAGATCCGAGAGGAGCGTAAGTGTAAGAAACCCAACAGCAAGCTGCAGCAAGGCAGTTTAATCCAGAACGCCATCAACATGTCCGAGCATTATGAAATCTTCGCAAACATCCACGAGTGCTGCAAGTATGGTTTGTGCAATGCAGGTCCTACATTATGGGAATTTGCATGAGAGGTGTTTGTCCAAGGGCTTCGAGCTTACGGTGTAGCTTTCACAACGGGTGTCCATCCTCGAATCTTCAAGCGCCTTCGGAACGAGCCGTTGTTGCGAATAAGCGTGACGGAAGCATGGTGTGGGCCGTAGGGGTTTTTGGCACCGAGGGCGCACATGCACTTTTACATTTATTTCTCATGTGTTTAACGAATTCCTGTAGCTCTAAGCCCGTCACTTTGAGTAATGGGCCCAGGCTGGCTGACCAAGGAGCAGATTGAGGAAGGTATCGAGTGCCCGGCGGTTGTCGAGTCATGTGACATATCTGCTAAACAGGCATTCTCAGTACGACCAGGTTTGATCATGTTTCTTGGGGTTTGGTGAGCTAGGCAAGGCACACACGTAACCCTCGTTGGTCACTGCAGA